AGATAAATACAAATCAGGGTGGCGTCACGTGGCAGCAAATCCCCAAGCAATCAGGGCCCTGTTGTACGAAGGATGAATAGCGCTATCCGACGGATAAATTACCCAGCAGATAAATCCAAATCAGGGTGGCTTCACGTGACGRCAAATCCCCAAGTAATCAGGGCCCGGTTGTACGAAGGATGAATAGCGCTATCCGACGGATAAATTACCCTGCAGATAAATTCATTGCATAACAGCATCGACTTATCCCAATGGATAAGGATTTAACCTACTTCGGATAGCACTATCCACCCTGCGTACAACCGGGCCCAGACTTCACTTTTCCCAATTCAATGCAATCCTGAATGGGAAAATTAAAACTAGTGCTAATATAAGCTCAACACTAGATCCCCTTCATTCGTATAAAAACGCTACTTTTTCCAGTGCGTTTTGGACTCCCGTTTGACCTACACGGCTTTTATCGAATTTTCTTCGAAATTGCTCGAACCGCAGCCCGTATGAATGCGAAATTAAACCAAAACAACCGTACAAAAAACTCTGGTGTGAACGGCAATCATTGAATGGATACAAAGTAGATACAAGTGAGGTGCATTTCCTTATTCAATGCAGATGTTTTTCACACTCCAAAACACAGKTGAATATAATAAAGCATCCAATATCAATGACGAATGTTTTATCAACCAAACCTAAAAACCGGTAGGAAAAAAWTGAAATCAAAAACAACTAAGAGCGCTATGAATACTCAGATTTGAATGATTCTCTTGAAACAGTTCACGCGTCTGGCCTGGAGCATATTATCGCAAATGCTAGTATCAGCTATTAGCTTTTAATGTGTAATGTGTGTGAAAGACTGTCAAATAGCCGTTCTATTTCGTTGAAGTATTTCGTATATTGCCCATCCAAGCCCTCATAACATATACGAGTGTTTGACAGACGAATATTTAAATAGAAAATATTAAAAACAAGTTCTCCACTGAAGCGAAGATTAAGAAAAAGCGTAAATAGGTAGAATCGAAATAAAATAAAGACGAAAACTCAAAGATAGATAGAAGTAGGGAATCGATGATGAAAATCGAGAGATCTTTCATATTATTACAGTATATCTTCAAATTCATTTTTGGTTCTAAGAATTGCCGAAATTACCGGCATCACGTCCTTCATCGACATGACAAACTTTTCAGTACTTGAAAAATCAATATTCTATTCGAATGATTTATTGCTGGTAAAAATGCTGAAGAAAATGAGTTGAAAATTTGAACAGTTTTAGATTACTTAGTTGTACTCTTACGAGGAATACGATAAAATCAATAAAGATAGCGTTATACCTACCGAATAACACCTTTGAATACGAAGTTTTCAAATACGGTTAAGAATGTTTTTCTTTCAAAGCGATGCGTTGAGCTTTGTAATGGGCGAAAAAGGAGGAAAATCCGACTTCAATCAGAAGGTTCGAGTTCTTTTCAATAATCAAAGAAAACCATGTGGGCGAATGTTTTGTATATCTGGGTAAAACGGAAAAATAAGCCCGACAAATGTTCCGTGGACCACACGCATCCTCACTATGCAATCCTATTGGACCGTGTCAGTGGATATTGTCGTTAGCCTTCGAAAGAAAACTCAACAGGGATCACAGGAAGCTAGAGAGGGTAATGAGACTATTCACATCTGAGGTCTATTATTGTAGATATGTTATTTTATTAAGAAATTGTGATAGGATGTTCGTCATAAACAGTCCTTTGAATGYTATGATTAATCAAGGACAGACAAGGAAGTAAATTATACGCGTTCGTCGGTGAGAAATGGTGACGTCAAACAGCTGGCTCGACCAATAGGAGGGTGGATAACAGACAGCTGGTGCAAGCACTAAACGAACGCTTCATTAGTGTCTTATATATAATCAAATTTCTAGTAGTATTGACTTTGATCGACCAGCTAGTACGACCACCTAGCGACCACTTCAAAGGAATGGACGACCGCACGACYAGCTATTCCGACCGGTTTTTAATGTTGTTAAATAGCTCGCTCGACTAGCTACGACCAGCTAAATCGATGCTTTTCACTCAA